TTCAAGTGCACCCCCTACATTGTTCAAACTGTTATATCTCAGTGATATTTCATCTGATCTGGGCCAGATTTTTGGTGTGTCATTAGTGAGCACTTATACACATATGGTATTGGTATTTTACTTTTTACTCAAGTGCGCCCCCTACATTATTACAATAGTTATATCTGCAGTCGCAGCTGATGTCAAAGGTTCGGCGAATGCGCACTCCGGAGAACGGGCACGGGACGGTAGCGTGAGCGTTCTTGATGGCGACCAGGAAGAGTCGCTGAAGTTCCCGTGGTCGCCGTAAGGCCGCAGCGGCGCTTCGCTGCGAGGGTCTTCAACGCTGCTTGCAGCTTTAATTAAATTATCTTTGTGTTAGATTTATTTATAAATCACATTTAAACACTGCTTGTACCAATTAAATTAAATAATAAGTAACACACACGTTCTCTATCACCGTCATTAATCAGATAAACAAAGCAGCACCTTCAGCTACTAGAGAGACTGACGTTATGTTTTGTCACATGGAAACAAAACAATGTGTTAAATTGTAGAGACTCACCTGTGAGACGAGTTGTATCAGCTACAGCTCCTTCCTCCTCCTCGTGACTCCGACATGTTTACGTTTCATCTCCGTGGTTCTCCCGTGTCGTCACTTTTCAAAGCTGCATGTTTCAGTTTTTATCTTTGTGAAGTGCTCCCACACTTTGGAGGACTTGGGTCGAACATTTTTCGCTGCGTCGGTCATTTGTAAAATTTACTTAATTTCCTTTGAAAACAGCCTCTGCTCTGCTTCCTCCTCCCCCCTCGCTCTGTTCAACTCGCGCTGCAGTTTTGTTTGTTCAAACTTTATTCAGTCAGTCAGCAAAACAAAATGGCTCCACAGCTCCGTGAAAGACACATAATCGCGCGACACAACGAATCGATAATGAAATTCATTGCCAACGCTTTTAATCATCGATTTTTATCGATTTTATCGATTCGTTGTTGCAGCCCTAGTCCATAGGACCAGATTTAACTTTTTTAGATTTTTCTACCTGGATTATTGAACATGCATCAGGATACGTATTAACTCATTTTTTTAATCTCTTTGTGCTGTTTGCAGTCTGAGGATGATAGCAGCTGAGTCTTCTTCATCCACCAGATCACCTCCAGCTAAGAAGTCTGTAATGACTGAACTTGCTTACTTGGCATATTTTCAAAATAAACATTTTGTAAGTCTTCATTTTGTCTTTTTTTGTACCGAAAATTAACCGAACCGAGCCCTTCTTGAAACTGAACCGAACCGAAATGTGATTTTAACATACCATTACACCCCTAGTAGATGTGTTTGTTCTGTATGAACTCCACAACCATCTCCTTCGTCTTCTTCACATTGATGTGAAGGTTATTCTCTTTGCACCAGCTCTCCAGTTTTTCCATCTCCTGCCAGTAGCTGGACTCATCATTGCTCGTGATGTATCTCACCACCGCTGTATCGTCTGCAAACTTTACAGTATGACAGCCTGGATGGGGAGGTGCACAATCATATTAGGGATGCACCGATCCACTTTTTAAACTTCCGATCCGATCCTGATACCTAACTCTGAGTATTGGCCGATACCGATCCAGTATCATGATCATCATTGATTTTATACGAGGCTGTAATAATCTCCTCTCAAGTACTATTTGTACAAATATATATGCATGCATGTCCAAAAAGGCAACTTGAGGTAAGTTGTATTAATGTTGGATAAGTTTTAAAGTTAGAATTAAATTCTGCTAACACAAAACATGTTTCTTTTTATTCCTAGTTTTAAAGTGGATATTAAAGTGATTAATTTAAGTGATTGTTTAAAGTTATTTTATATTTTTTTAAATAAGGGGCAGATATAAGAATTATTTTTCATCTTTCTGCACTCTTTTCATTCAATGTTTTCTTTTTGATGATTTTTTAAAAAATTATGTTTCTTTTAAATGAATTAATAAATTAATTAAATAAAATAAAATGTTAAATGGCTTCAAACACCTGGCATAAACCATCAGGCATGTTCCTGTTTTTAGTATTTTACATCACTTTATAATATAGCTGTTTTTGTTTTTAATATAATTTTCAAATCATGTTTTTTATGATTGTCTACTGATAAATAATCTCCTGGAGGGTAAACTATATCTTGGCTGCAAGTCGTGAAATCTTTCGTTTTCTTAAACTGATAGTGGTTGGTCATTAATTATGATGAAGTTTAGCAACGTCTCTGTAAACATTTGAGCTCCATGGTTTCAGTGATGTCTTCTTCTTGTTCAATCCGAAGCAAGCAGCCTAATTTGGGGCAGCTGCGCTCAAGTCTGTCCCTCCTCAGAGACGGGCAGATTGAGCGGGGCAGATTGGACGCGGCTGGCCGAGGTCGAGTCGCCTGTTGTGGGTTGAGCAAAGAGCAGCGCCCCGCTGAAGCCACGGAGCTCAAATGTCCATCGTAAAACTAACTTTACCGCGGTTTAATGTGGCGCTATGGCTCTGCAGATATTGCACGTTGCTGTCTTGTTTTGTGGTGATTTTAGTGTAAAATACTTCTGCACAGCGGACATGTTTCGATGAAAAATTGGTTAACTGTTAGCCACAGTGCTGCTAACTCTGTCCTCACGTTGTAGCTGGCTGCAAACTATGAAATGGATTTCCTGAATGTGAGGCAGGCCTTATTACTCTGGGTTCATGAGACACGCCTCCGTTCAGGAAATCCATTCCATAGTTTGAAGCCAACATGCATCATGGATCGAAAATATCGGCAGGTGGATCAGAAAAATCCGATACGTAAATTATGCTGGTATCGAAGGCCGATACCGATACTGGATCGGATCGGCCCCATCCCTAAATCATATGTGAGCAAAGTGAACAGGAGGAGGCTCAACACATAGCCCTGAAGGGAGCCAGTGCTGAGGGTTATGGTGGAGGAGGAGAAGTTGTGGATCCTCACAGACTATGGTCTGTTGGTTAAGAAGTCCAGGACCCAGTTGCAAATGGAGGGGCTTAGTCCTTGTGTGAATAGTTTGTCCATCATGGTCTGGGGAATCATGGTGTTGAAGGCAGATGTGAAGTCCACAAAGAGCATACGGACGCAAGAGTCTTTTTGCTCCAGGTGGATGAGAACAATGTGGACCACAAAAGAGATGGCGTCCTCTGTTGATTGATTCTTGCAATATGTATATTGGTGTGGGTCCTCGATGATGTTGATGGTAGCTTTGATGTGGGCCATGACCAGTCTTTCAATTCAATTTCAAATCAATTCAGTCCAGTTTATTTATATAGCGCCAAGTCACAGCAGAAGTTGTCTTAGGGCACTGAACAGAAACAATCATATATACAAAATAATAAGTTAACACTATTTATCTGAGGAACAGAAAGCTTTGAAGTTAACTCCATCACAGAACTCTCATCTTGAGCAAGCATGAAGGCGACAGTGGAAAGGAAAAACTCGCTCATGAGGAAGAAACCTTTAGTAGAACCAGGCTCAGGACAAGCAATCATCTGCTTTGACCAGATGGGTTTGATAGGAACTGATACACAGTGGCAGGTCAAGAATCACGTTAATATAAAAATAGTATCAAATGAAAACTATTCAATTTTAACAGTTAATTTAAGGAAATGAGGTCAAATTGTCCTCTAGTAGTCTAAGCTCAAGGCAGCATAACAAGCCAACCATAATTATAGGATTTATTGGTTGGACCACTTAAGAAGTTTACTGCTTGGTGGGGAAACAGTATACTGGAACTCCTCAGACTGATGAAGTCCTCCGGATAGAGGGCGAAACGTCTCTATAAAAAGAGAAACTGTCCAGATGACCTGACTGAGAATTATTCAATTTGATACCTGGATGATTGAGCATGAACTTTGTTGCCTTGAACCGCTTTGGCTGTGGCTGCCTGCCTGGGAGGAGCCGATGGGGGACAGGACGGCCCCCAGAAACCATCTTAGCTCCAGAAAACTGGTTGGTCCACTTAAGAAGTTTACTGCTTGGTGGGGAAACAGTTTACTGCAACGCCTCAGACTGATGAAGCCCTCTGGATAGAGGGCGAAACGTTTCTATAAAAAAGAAACTGTCCAGATGACCCGACTGAGAAGTATTGGATTTGGTACTTGGATGATTGAGCATGAACTTTGTTGCTAACCCAGATTCAACACAAGACGGTGGGTGTACATCTGATCTCTTCATCTTATCACCAGCAAACTGGTTGGCCCACTAAAGGAGTGCACTGCTTAGTGGGGAAACCAGTTTACTCGGGACTCCTCAGACTGATGAAGCCCTTTGGATAGAGGGCGAAACATCTTTCCACAAAAAAGAAACTGTCCAGATGACCTGATTGACCATTATTGGATCTGAAGAAATTAATGCACGTCTATCTTGGGGGATGGTCCTCGAGAGTACCTCATTGGTCATTCAGGTTAGACTTCGGATCACATAATGACAGAGTGCGTGGAGTTATGGTAGGGTAGGTAAGTTGAAACTGTGAGAAAGAGTCGTACATCTGGATATCTGAGGGCATTCTCTCTGTGTCACAAGCGCCTGCCCCCAAGAGGGGCAGGGCGCTGGGAGCCATGGGCGCCCAGCTCTGTCAAAGGAAAATGTTAGTCAGTGGCAGGAAGTTACTGAGAGATGGCAGGAAGTCTGTCAAAATAAATTATAAAAATATAATTTTTGAAAATTATGAAAAAAAAACATAAATATAACCTCCTGCATATAAACCGTGGGGTACAAAGTATGAGAAAAAAGTAGCGGCTTGTACACTAGCAATTACTGTAATTGATCACGGATTATCACCACTATCATTGTCAAAGACAGCCATCTTGAAATTTGAGGTTGGAGTTGGTCAGGAATCTCTGACATGGAATTCTGACTTCTATATATTTATATATTTTATTTAAACAAGGTAATTTTGCCTTCTGCACACATATGGAATGCAATATTATTCACTGTTTTTGCCTGGGTTGTAAAAGCAAAGTGGGTTTGTGTGTGTGTGTGTGTGTGTGTGTGTATGTTAGGCACCTCTTTATGGTCCTCCATGACAGTAAGGATAGTGTCTATGGTGCTGAGGATGCCAAGAGCCATGACAGTCTTATCCTCATTCTCTTCATACTCCTCGCTTTGAAGAACCCTTATGAAGATCTCAGCCTGTTCAAAACACTTACAATATAATGTCTCCAGCTTTTTTTTTACAGCAATCTAACACACACGTCAGTGCTTCCCCTACTATTATACAAGCGGGGCACCCCACCACGTCAACAGAACCGAGTGCCTCGTCTACCAAACCGCACGCACCCACTTGTCGGCACCGATGTAACGCTAAGCCAGAGGCTCGCAATACAGGCGCACTAGCTAAAAAATCCAAGCAGTCTGCTCCTCAGATGAATAATGTTAAATTATTATTTTTTATGAATGTTTTTGTTAACTTATTTTTTTTATATATGAATGTTTCTGTTCAGTGCCCCGAGATGACTTCTATTATGACATGGCACTATATAAATAAACTGAATTGAATTGAAATTAAAAAGCTAAAGGCAGCCTCTTCCCTCATGCTGAACCCCCCCGACTTGAAAACTGTGAAACTGTCGGTACAAACAGCGCGCGACTCAGATGTGTCTGTCTCAACACCCTCCGCCCCAAACTCATAGTACTGTCGGTGCTGCATAGCTCAAGACTTGTCTTCCTTTGTGCACCCCCCCACCCCCAAAATTTCATGGACGAGATGAGCGCCCCGCCATGGCAAGTTATCTAGGGGAAACACTGCATGTTATCTGTGAATCAAGGTAAAATGAATTTTAAGACAATAATAACCCCAAAATATTATTCAGTCAATCACTATCAGACTGAAGCCCCCAGTATACTGCCGCGTACGTCCGTTCACGCGTACGTAAGCGTGTACTGTACGCAGAGAGTTCAGACTTTGTACTCCAGCGTACACCCCGAGCAGCTGCAGAGCAGCTTCACAGACAAGGGGCGTTTACCTTTGGGACAAATTGAGGTCGCCGATTGGTCATTTGCTGGCACGCCTACCGGATTGATTGACAGGTCGAAAAAAAAAAAGCAAGAGCTGGCAGCAAGAGCTGGCAGCCTTCGCCGCAGCGGTGTTCGGTGTTTATATTTTGTTAATAACAAGATCTAAAAAATAAATAAAAAAAACAGACAGCGCTGGCTCTACAGCCCACACATCAGACCAGCCCACCAGGAAATCTCCAGACCCTCCCACAGCCATGCTGGACCTGAGTTTAATTCACTCGTGACAAATTCCTTCATTTCTCACCATTTCAGTCATGGCATCAACGGAGCAGGAAGAGATCAATGCCTCTTGGAAAAAAACAAACAAAAGAAAAGGCCAGATCAGAGATGAAGAAGGGGAATTTAGTACATTGGTGTTGCATACAAAACAGTCCGTCGCTGGGCAGTTTATTGTGCGACACCGCGTACGCGTATGCGGTCGTAAAAATTTGAGCTTTGCTCGGACATGCCCTGGGGGGTATGCTCGTACCTCCGCGTACGTACCTCTGCGTATGGATGTACGCGGCAGTATACTGGGGGCTTGACATATTAGAATTGGACATTTATTTGCAGTTGTCTATAATGGTTTTATTTTTTTAAGGAGAAACTTAAGAAATTCCCACCCTCTATACAACTGCAATAGTCAGCAACGTGTGGCTAAAAATTGATTTATTATTTTTGTTTTAATTAAGGAGTAACTAAAATCCTCTGACAAAACAATACAAACAAACAAAAAAAAACATCAGGGCAACCAACTCTGGACTGATACAAGGAGCTACAGGCAGCTTTGTCATGCTAAGAAAGGACATCATGTCCTTATTGTCACAGTACACAATATTTTTGAAAGCTGAAACATCCAGCCCAGTAGGTCAAAACTGAAACTAGCAAACCAAAATAGACAGAAAATCTGATCTCCATAATATTTTATGAACTGACTAATCTAACAAAGTCAAGTCAGGTCCTTTGGACAGATTAAAATAAATAAAAAAATTAAAACTTGTTAAAACATGTTGTCTTTTAACCAAAACAGTCAGTCTGAGGAGCTGCAATACACTCAGTCTTATAAATAGCACCTTCTCATAGTGGATCAACCAGTTTGCTGCTGACATCCAGAACTACCTGTTCCCATTTAAAAGAAGGACCATCAGCCTAACGATCAATTGTTAGCACCCTGATGGCCGCTTGCTATTCACAGGGGGCTGAGCGATACTAGCAATAACAGCATTGTAAGAGAGAGACAGTTGAATACGGAGGCCTCCACCCCTGTTTAATGATGGATGGGTTCTTTTCTAAAAGATGGCTAAATGTCCTCCTTTTTTGCATGTGAACATCTAGTTCTGGATGTAAACAACAAACTGGTTGATCCACTATTAGAAGGTCTGTTTATAAGACTGAGTTTATTGGAGATCCTCAGACTGACAGTCTTTTTTGATAAAAGGCAAAATGTTTAAACAAGTTTTTAATTTAATTTTTTATTTTTTAATCCATCCAGAGAACTTGACTTAACTTTGTTAGATTTTTCTACCTGGATTATTGAGCATGCATCAGGAAAAACTGACTAATAAATAAAAACACCTACCAGGTTCTGTGTCATGTCCACAGCAACGGTGGCCATCTCCTGGTTGTACTCGCAAATCATTTTCTGAATGACATTGGTCAGGTCGTCGTTCTCAGTCTCTTTGATCACATGCAGAAACTCATGCATCACCTGATGAATGTACGGACGGATGTACAGCTTGGCTAAGCACGCACGCACACACACACACACACACACACACACACACAAAAACAGAGCATAACATCTAGTCAATGACGTGTGCATTTTCTTCAATTCAAAAGGAAGAAAATTTGAGCTACATACAAATTCTTATAAGTAGCCTTTAAAAGCTTAGTTTAAGGGTTGAATAACTTGTTACTGAATCACCAGAACTGTTAAGTAAAAAATAATTAGAAAGTTTCTGGATAAACTTTGACGGGGACTGCCACGTGGCAGCCAATTACATTTTTTGATTTGACAGTAATGTGTGTTGGGGTTTGCTCTCAGCTACCATCATACAAAATTTCAGCTCAATAGCTCATTGACTGAGTTATGTCAGGGTTTGGTGGACAGGAACGAACCCAGTAGTGCAGACAGGACTCAACTCGGCAGATTAACAAACTAAATACTTTAATGATGAATAAAAATTAACAAAACAAACAGCTGACGTGGCAGCAAAACTTACATAAACTAGAAGACTCAGGAGGGAAACTCGGAAGGGACTCAGGAAGCTCAGGAAAACTCAGGAGACGCAGGAGAACACGAGATACCCAACGAATACGACGCGACGAGGAACAAGACAGAACAGACAGCTTTTATATAAGGACAAAACGAGACGTGATTACAAACAGCTGTGACGAGACAAGGGTGGCATCAATTAAACTAAAGAGAACACACAAGGGACACACAGACACAAACAGGGACAGTAAATGGTACCATCCTTACAGTACCCCCCTCAAGGACGCCTCCAGGCGTCCCCAAGAAACCCCCCTCCCAAAGGACTTGGGCGGGTGGAGGGCGGCACTGCAAGGGTGGAGGGCCAGAGGAAACACAAGGACACAAGGAACTGACAAAAACTAAGGCAAAACACGAGCAGGAAAACACAAGAGATCTAAACGGTCAAGAGACCGTCCCTAAAGTCATTGTTCAGGGGGGCGGCCAGGAGGCCGTCCATCACGGGACCAACGTTCCGGGGGGCGGCCGGGAGGCCGTCCATCACGGGACCAACGTTCCGGGGGGCGGCCGGGAGGCCGTCCAACACATAGGACTTTGGAGGCCGCGGCAGGCGGCGTAGACGACTTGGAGGCCGCGGCAGGCAGCGATGACGACTTGGAGGCCGCGGCAGGCGGCGATGACGACTTGGAGGCCGCGGCAGGCGGCGATGACGACTTGGAGGCCGCGGCAGGCGGTGACGACGACTTGGAGGCCGCGGCAGGCGGCGATGACGACTTGGAGGCCGCGTCTGGCGGCGAAGACGATGAGGAGGCCGCGTCTGGCGGCGAAGACGACGAGGAGGCCGCGTCTGGCGGCGAAGACGACGAGGAGGCCGCGTCTGGCGGCGAAGACGACGAGGAGGCCGCGTCTGGCGGCGTAGAGCCGCGTCTGGCGGTGTAGACGGCGTAGAGGCCGCGTCTGGCGGCGTAGAGGCCGCGTCTGGCGGCGTAGAGGCCGCGTCTGGCAGCGTAGACGGCGTAGAGAACTTGGGGCTCTGGAGAACTGCAGCGTGCGACTTGGACGACCATGGAGGCGAATCCTCTGTGGAAGTGGAGAGCGCCGACCCCTCTGGGGATGTGGAGAGCACCGACCCCTCTGGGGATGTGGAGAGCGCCGACCCCTCTGGGGACGTGGAGAGCGCCGACCCCTCTGGAGACGTGGAGAGCGCCGACCCCTCTGGAGACGCGGAGAGCGCCGACCCCTCTGGAGACGCGGAGAGCGCCGACCCCTCTGGAGACTTGGAGAGCGCCGACCCCTCTGGAGACTTGGAGAGCGCCGACCCCTCTGGAGACTTGGAGAGCGTCGACCCCTCTGGAGACTTGGAGACCTGTAGCTCTGCAGCAGACGGCGAAGAGACCTGTAGCTCTGCAGCAGACGGCGAAGAGACCTGGAGCTCTGCAGCAGACGGCGAAGAGACCTGGAGCTCTGCAGCAGACGGCGAAGAGACCTGGAGCTCTGCAGCAGACGACGTAGAGATCTGTGGCTCTGCAGCAGACGACATTGAGACCTGTGGCTCTGCAGCAGACGACGTAGAGACCTGTGGCTCTGCAGCAGACGACGTAGAGACCTGTGGCTCTGTAGCAGACGACGTAGAGACCTGTGGCTCTGCAGCAGATGACGTAGAGACCTGTGGCTCTGCAGCAGACGACGTAGAGACCTGTGGCTCTGCGGCAGACGACGTAGAGACCTTTGGTGCGGTGAAGTTGATGGGTGCAGGATGAGTGATGGTGACCTTGGGTGTGCTGAGAGTCCTAATTTCTATTAATAATTTATTGTACTCTGGGAGCTGAACGAGACCGGGCCATGAAACCAAAAACTTCTCCATCAATGAAAATATAACTTCTGAGCTGTCCGGGTTATTTTTAGCAGTAGTAAATGAATTTAATAAAGACTGGTTTATGAAAGCGAGATCCTGGGGTGAATATGAGACTGATGGGCCAGTGTCTTTAAGTGAGGGTGTGGTGTCAGGTGTCGCCCCCACCAGAAACCTGAGAGGTGGGGCGGCGGAACACTCCCCCACAGAGTCACTGATCCTATGCACCGGAGGTACGGTCAGGCCGGGTTGGACAGCCGCGGCGCGGTGTGACGGCGAGAGGCCGGACTCCGCCCCCACCAGGAACCTGGAGGGTGAGGCCACGGAATCCGCCCCTGTGATGTCAAGTGGACCGGACTCGCCGAACCCAACAGAAGTGGACCGGAGCTCCCGCGGGACGTCGGACCTCGCCCCCACCGAAAACCTGAGAGGTGAGGCGGCGGATCCGGCTCCCACAGAAACACCAGAACCAACTCTAAAATTCTGCTCAGCCGACGAGACCGGCCCGGTCGCCGCGGGCTGCCCTCGGGACCGCTTCCTACCTCCCCGGCGACGACGGGTGAGTCGAGGGACCGGAACAAAACCAAACTCCTCCTCGATCTCTTCGTCCTCCCCCGACGTCCATCCCGAGTAGCCAGGCGAGGCGGACTCTGAAACCGTGGTGCGGTGGCTTCCCCGGTACCGATCTCTGTCCTCCTCGAGGACCAGGAGTGGAGAGGACAGGATTTCCACCTCCTGGTCATAACAGCCTTGTGGGCGGACGGGCCTAGTCCAAAACCCGCCGCACCGGATTGTGGATTTACTCATCTCGAGAGGCTCGGAGGAGAAAAAGAAAAAAGGTAAGCTGCCGAGAGAGCCCTGTCCGCTGAGTTCTGATGTGTGGTCGCGTCGTAATGTCAGGGTTTGGTGGACAGGAACGAACCCAGTAGTGCAGACAGGACTCAACTCGGCAGATCAACAAACTAAATACTTTAATGATGAATAAAAATTAACAAAACAAATAGCTGACGTGGCAGCAAAACTTACATAAACTAGAAGACTCAGGAGGGAAACTCAGAAGGGACTTAAGAAGCTCAGGAAAACTCAGGAGACGCAGGAGAACACGAGATACCCAACGAATACGACGCGACGAGGAACAAAACAG